GGGGGGGGAGTTGGCCAAGAGAAGCAGAGGCAAGGTAGAGCAGTTTGGTTAGTTGGTGCAGGCTGCAGCGGGTCACCAATGCTTTTATCATCTGGCGTAATTCTTGATGTAATCTTGAACCTTATTCCGAAAGTCCTCCTGAGGACAGAAAAGGTAAAGAGAAGAAAAGAGTTAGATGGGAAAACTAGAAGTAAAAATGTTGCTGTGTTGCTTTTTCCCCCATTTAAAACCAAAAATGGCAAAAAAGCACAAACACAGATCTAACTGAAGATATTTTAATGTACTTTTTAGGTCGCTATGCTAGTTTTGGACATATTAGACGCTGTAAGGCACTTTTTCATTCCACATGTTAACTTCTTGCCAAATAATTGGAAGCAAAACAAACAAAACAAAAAGATGCACGAGGACTCGGCTAATTTGAGGTGACACTGCACAAGTGTCATTTGAATTTTACGACACTGAAAATATGCAAATGACCTTCGGCAGATTTGTCAATTAATTTCTTGATGTACAGTGATGGCACCCTGCTAAAAATGCAACATGTGTAGGGGTACAGTATGATGCATAAACACTGTTAAACAAGCAACAACAAAAAGATAAATAACAGCCACTGTTACAAAACTAGAATATTAATTTCACCAAATATTACATTTCTTTTAACTGTACTATGCACAGTATCAGTCCTATGCAGATGTTACACTGCAAGTAAATGTACGTAAAATCTACAAGCACAAAAACCCAAAACAAAAAGAAAAACGTTTATGTTCTTACGTCTGATAGTTTAAAAATGAAATTCTTCAAGTTTTTCTCACTCGGGGCACATCTAGTGCCCGAGACGTGGAGTGCTTGACATCTTGATAATAATGACGTCTGTATCGAGTCAACCTTCCTTGGCCATATCCCTTCTGGTCCTTAGTGTCTTCCTCTTTCCTTACCATGTGTTCTCCCCCCCTTCTACTCGATCATGCCCCTTCAGGTTATGCTTGACATCGTTCCACCCCCACCCACCATGCACGAATCCTGTAAACTCTCCTCTGTCGTTACTTCGACTCATATCTCCTGGTGGCATCTGGTCCAACCAAGCTGTGTGTGACCTCTACTCTCCTTCCTCATTTTTTCCCTCCTCTGCTACCCGCTAGTTTTAGTCACAGTTTAAGTTTTCCATCCTTTACAACCGTTTGGCTTTTCTTGCCAACATCCTTTTCATCTTAACTTCTTTGTAATCCCATTATTCCTTTAAACACTGTTTCAATTCAGTTTTATTCAGATAGCTTATACTTGCTTTACATTGTAGAGTAAAAACCTTATAATATTACAGAAAAATGTTTCAGCAAGCACTTTGTGACAGTCCAGAGACATTACACACACACAGACACACACACACACACACACACACACA